GATATAGCTCGCTAGCAGCCTCACACCGAGGACCTATCCACGTCATCATTTACCCAGAATGCTTTGCATGTAAATAAAATGTCTCCATCCGTGTTACAATATATTTTTAAACGTTTAGTTTAAAAATGATAAAAACTAAACATCCTACAGTATTTTTAGTCTTTATTTTACAGTTAAAACAAATGTTTATTAAATAAAGTCTAATGTTACAACTAATCATGGATCCCTTTAAAGAAACACATGACACACAAGGGTGATGGAAAGAATTATAAGGACACGTTTTCTTTATCTAACCAAATGAATTATGACTTTTTAGCTGGTAATAAAAACATTTTTGGAACAAAATTAATTGAAAATGAGGTCACTCACGTTTTTCCTGTCTCTGAATCTTCTGGATACCACTCAGCCGCCACCTTGAACAGACACACAGTATGATTTTTATTTTTTTTTTAGAAAGCAGGTGATGGAAAAGCATTTTAAATGCAAATGATTGATAGGCCTCCCTTCACAAACCTGTATCATGTTGACGACGTGGTACGGCAGCCAAAACACGCCGAACGTCACCACGATGGCCAGAATGAGCTTCTCGCTGCGAGCCTTTTGGCGAAAGTGGGTCTGCCTCAGACGCTTCAGGATGAGGACRTAGCTGGTGATGATGATGGCGTAGGGAATAGTAAACCCAGACACGGTCTCCAGGGTGTACTGGAACCTGACCTGGGAACAGGGAACAATGAAAAATAGTCAAAGCAAGCGTCAGACATGAGGTTAGGCGATAAGYAGGCCTCTGTCAGTGATTGCAGGTAGTCTCTTCTTCATATTAGAAACTAAATTCATAAACTTAGTTGTTGAAATAATCAGAAGTGCACTCACGTGGCTGGAYAGGGTGTGATTTGGCGAACACACGTTTCTTGTTTTATTGTGGTCACGGTTTATTCCCACATCTCGAAACACCAGCGAGGGCAAGGAGATCACCATGACCAACGCCCACATGCCCACGATCACCCTCCTCACTATCTTGGGGCTGATCCGGTACAGTTCCCGTGGATACAGCACGGCCACCATCCTGTGCACGCTCATCAGCGTGATCAGAAAGATGGAGGCGTACATGTTGACGTTGCACAGGTAGAAGAGGCCTTTACACATAAAGTTTCCAAAGATCCACGTCTGCTTGGCCAGGTAGATGATGAAGAAGATGGTGAGGGCCATGAGCGAGCCATCGGCGCAGGCCAGGTTGAGGATCAGGATGGCGGTGACCGAGCGGTGCCGGATGCGGGCCAGGATGCTCCAGACGATGAAGAGGTTACCGGGGACGCCCAGGAGGACGACGATGCTGAGGATGAGGGCGCCCAGGGACGTGGCGAGTCCGCTGCTCACAACACTTTCTTCCTCAGCGTTCGTTCCATTTAGATGAGGGACCCTTCTCATTTCTCAAAGAAGTTTTAATCCTGAAAGCATGAAGCAAAGTCAGACACCGAYCTGACGTGGGCTCTAAAATATTCAGGTCAGATTGTGAGGCAGCTCGGGATTTGCAGACTAAAACATGTCGCGGTGCGTAAAAACTCGAGGCGTATTTCGACACCCTTTTATTTTCACTTTATGTCCCAGGATTTTTTCTTTTTCTCCTCACTGTCGTTTCACGGAAACCAGTGTCTGAGAGGTTGATCTGTGAGCAAATTTAAAATGATCAAAAACAACACATAACACGGATTAGACTGTTACTGTTACTGTTACTATTACGACACAATGGAAACAAATAAACTTAGCACAAAACGTAAGGAAAATATAGAGTGGTAGATTCAGTGGTGGGCAGCAGTAATCTAAAAACCAGTTCCACTAGCCATAAAGCACTAACTCAATTAGGTCCCTTAATACTAAAGCACTAATGCACTGAGAGTTTTAGCAAACGCTCATTCTAAAGCACTAAAATAACCCAGTCAACCCATGAACATTCTTCAACAGACAACAAGAGTCACATGTTGCTCTCTCAAGACTTATCATTGATATTCCACAGTCATACTTGAGTTCATATATTGTCACCTGGTGGAT